AGTCCTTCTCGGGGAGGAAGTCGATGTCGCGGGAGGTGACGATGCCCTCCAGCTTGCTGCCCATCCTGCCGCTCTGCGTCACGGGGATGCCCGAGAAGCCGTGCCGCAGCTTGGCCTCGAAGACGTCGCCCACCGTGTGCGTGGGGCTCATCACCACCGGGTCCGTGATGAAGCCCTGCTCGAACCTCTGCGCGGGGACGGGAATTGGGGGCCGTGGGGCGGCCGTGGGGCCGCCGTGGGGCGGGCGGGGGGCGCCCCGACCTACCTTCACCTTGCGCACCTCGTTGGCCTGGAACTCGGGGGTGCAGTTGTGGTGGATGATGCCGATGCCGCCCATGAGCTGGGGGGACGCAGGGGGATCAGAGGGGACCGCGACGCTCAGCCTGATCCCGTGGGGATGGGGACGCTGATCCCACACCCAACCCCATGGGGATGGGGACCCTGATCCCACACCCAACCCCATGGGGATGGGCACCCCGACCTCATGGGGATGGGCACCCTGATCCCAAATACCAACCCCATGGAGATGGGCACCCTGACCCCACGCCCAACTCCATGGGGATGGGCACCCCGACCTCATGGGGATGGGTACCCTGACCCCAACTCCCATGGAGATGAGCACCTTGACCCCCATGGAGATGGGCATCCCAACCCCACACCCAACCCCATGGGGATGGGCACCCCGACCTCATGGGAATGGGCACCCTGATCCCAACTCCCATGGGGATGGGCACCCTGATCCCACACCCAACCCCACGGAGCCATGGAGATGGGCACCCTGATCCCACAACTGATTGGGATGGGCACCTTGATCCCAAATACCAACCCCATGGGGATGGGCACCTCAACCTCATGCAGATGGGTACCCTGACCCTCAACTCCCATGGAGATGGGCACCCCGATTGCACACCCAACCCCATGGAGATGGGCACCTTGACCCGATGGGGATGGGTACCCTGATCCCAACTCCCATGGAGATGGGCACCCTGATCCCACAACTGATTGGGATGGGCACCCTGATCCCAAATACCAACCCCATGGGGATGGGCATCCCAACCCCATACCCAACTCCATGGGGATAGGCACCCTGACCCCACAATCGACTGGGATGGGCACCCTGACCCCAACTACCAATCCCATGGGGATGGGCACCCCGACCCCAACTACCAATCCCATGGAGATGGGCATCCCAACCCCACACCCAATGGGGATGGGTACCCTGATCCCAACTCCCATGGGGATGGGCACCTTGACCCCATGGAGATGGGCACCCTGATCCCAAGTCCCATGGGGATGGGCACCCCGACCCCATATCCCAACCCCATGGGGATGGGCATCCCAACCCTACACCCAATCCCATGAGGATGGGCACCCCGATCCCACATCCCAACCCCATGGGGATGGGCATCCCAACCCTACACCCAATCCCATGGGGATGGGCACCCTGATCCCACCTTCCCACCCCATGGAGATGGGCACCCCAACTCCCAAGGGGAAGGGCACCCCGACCCCACACCCAACCCCATGGGGATGGGCACCTTGGCCCCATGGGGATGGGCACCCCAACCTCATGGTGATGGGCACCCCGACCCCACACCCCATGGTGACAGGCACCCCAACCACGTCCCCAGTCCTGCACGGGGACGGGCACCCTGACCCTACAACCGCTCACCCCGACCCATGCGAGCGGAGCCGCCCCCTGCGCCCCCATGGGGCACCCCCCGCACCCACGTGTCCCCCCTGGGCCGGTGTCCCCTCCCGGGGCCGCGCTCACCGCCATGGCGATGGCCATGTCCGACTCGGTCACCGTGTCCATGGGGGACGAGATGAGGGGCGTCTTGAGGGTGATCTTGCGGGTCAGGGCCGACGTCAGGTCCTGGAGGGACACGGGGGAAAGAGACCCGGTCCCCAAAAGGGTCCCCAAAAGGGTCCCCGGGCACCCACGGCCCCTGTGTGGGGACGGGGACAGGGATGGGGACAGGGACGGGGACAGGGACTCACCACCTCGTCGGCCGTGAAGTCGATGAAGCCGGGGAGGATGAGGAAGTCACTGCACGGGGGACACGGGAGAGGGGCAGGGGTGGCCAGGGCACCCCCATCCTGCTGTCCCCACCGCCCTGGGGACACCGGCCACGTCCCCGCAGCCACCCATGTGTCCCCACCGCGCCACATCGGTGCCCTGAGGACACCCGTGTCCAGGACACCCCGACCCCGTGTCCAGGACATGGTGTGGGGTGGGCACACCATGGTGGTCACGTGGGGATGGTGGCACCAGGGACACCAGCAGCCCCAGTGTGACAAGGGGACAGTGTGCTGGTCCCATGGGGTCACATCCCAACCCCAGCAGCCGTGGTGCAAGATGGGGACATTGCATCAGTGCCATGGGGACAGTGGCACTGGGGACAACCCAAACAGGTCACAGTGCAGGACGGGGACACCTGTGTTGGTGCCTTGAGGATGGTGGCACCTGTGGCACCCCAACCCCGCAGCCATGGGATGGGATGGGGACACCCTGAGCAGGGCACAGCGCAGCATGGGGACACTGTGTCCATCCCTTGGGGACGGTGGCACCCAGGACACCCTGCACAGGGCACCGTGTGACATGGGGACACCATGTCCATCCCTTGGGGACGGTGGTACCCAGAATACCCAGTGTAGGGCACAGTGCAGCATGGGGACACTGCGTCCATCCCTTGGGGACAGTGACACCCAGGACACCCTGCACAGGGCACC